AAATTTGTTGAACCACTTACAACCTCAGCGTCAAGGGTATACAAGCCTTGTTTCTTCATGCCTCTCAAGACTTCCTATGACCCCTTCATGACTTTCAAGATACCTTGCTCTCCTTTGAAGACATATCCTTTCTTGTCGAATTCACCAAGAGAAATTAAATTCCTCTTAAGATCAGGTACATACCTAACACCAGTCAATAGCCTTATTGAGTCATCATGGAACTTGAATCTCACAGATTCAATACCTACAAATTTGCAAGCTTTATTGTTTCCCAACAATACTGATCCACCATCTTGATCAAATAATTCTTCAAACACATTCTTGTTTGGAGTTATATACTAAGTACATCCTGAATTCATAATCCACTCTTTGCAAGAGTTTCTGCTCGACACCACAAGGACATTAAATGATTCATAATCATCTTGCATAATAGTTGCATTATCCTTACCTCCATGATTATTCAGGTGCTCAGGATACATCTTTCTTGTATGACCCTCCTTCTTACAGTGATAACACTTAATCTCAGAAATATCACCACCATAAAACTTCTGCTGAGTTTTACCTTTCTTCTTCTCGAACCTACCATCATTTCTCGAGAATTTTCCTTTGACGGACAACCCTTCGCTAACTGATGATGGTTTATGCTCCTTTCTTTTGTTCAAATCCTTAGAATACAAGTTTGCTTGAACTTCTTCAAATGTCAGAGACTCTCTTCCATACAAGATGATTTCTTTGAAGTGAGCATGAGACTTAGGTAAAGAACACAACAATAACAACGCTTGATCTTCGTCATTGATGGTAACATCAATATTTTCAAGATCAAGAATCAGCTTGCTAAATGCATCCAACTGCTCCATCAATGCTTTATCTCCATTCTTCTTGAATGAATACAAAGCTTGCTTCAAGTACAAACGATTCACCAAAGACTTTGTCATATACAATCCTTTGAGTTTCAGCCAAACACCGACTTCTGTCTCCTTCAAAACATGCTTGAGAACCTTATCACCAAGACTCAAAACAATGGCATTGTGGACTTTCTCGATCATTGTTGTCTTATCCTTCTCCACCAGTGCAGCATCCATGGCATCTTCTTCCTTTAATGCTTCTAGCAAACCATGTTGAACAAGAAGGGCTCGCATCTTCAAGCGCCATAAATCGAAATCATTAACTCCGGTGAACTTCTCAATTTCAAACTTTATTGACGAAATCTTTCTCCACGCTCACCACACTAGTTTGTTATGACAAACAATACCAATTAACAAATTCTTGATTGAGAAACGGAGTTTCTTGATGATCAACAAAACAGTTAGGTTAACAAAGAGATAAAAGAAAGAATAAAGAAGAAAGAAGGAGAATATGATTTTGGGCAAACTGTTTTCTATTCAGTTACTCAATTAGGTTACAAATGATTACAAGTGAATAACACAATTGGCCTCTCTCAACAACCTGAGAGATCTAGCTTGTTTATAGGCTACTAGGTTAACTTAATTAACAAGCTAGCCTAAACAATCAGATTCATAACACAAGGCCCAATTTGACAATATATTTCAACATTACATTATAGAACTAACTTCGACTACACCATGTAGAACTCAAACATCAGCATGTAAACCAGCTTCGACTTCATGCTTGACTCATATCGAAACCTGAAAGTTATCCCTACTGATAACATCCATGTCTACAACACTAGAGCTTAATCTAATATCTCACACAGTCAATTAATAGAAAAAAAATCAAGAATAATCATGATAATCATCACTGTTTTGAACTGAATTGAAATAACATAGCAGACTTGTTCAATCTATAAAATATTAAGAATAATCACGATGATTGAATATAACAGGAGAGTTACACCCATTAAAACATACCACATGACAATTGTCATTGCTTATCATACTTAACAGATGTCGCACTGCATTTTCATCTTTACCTACAAATACTATATTTCGTTGTTATTGCATAATCTTTCCTAGAGCAGATGCTAGTAATGGGTGATGACCAGAGAAAAAACGGAATATAAGAGATGACAAGAAGTAATGGATGGATACATTACATACAACTTACAACTGACCAATCCTGAGTTTTTTTTTTTTTACTAAACCAAAAATTGGGATAAAATTTATGTAACCTAATACGTTATACTTGGACATTAGAAATTAGAAAGCATAAGAATTGATTGAAAGGATCCGAAGTAGCATCCTAATCAAACAAAACTTTCACCTGTTTCAATTGCATAAGGTGGAAAACATTTTGAGCTTTTCCAATATAGATATTACTTGATATTTTTTCCCATGGACATTGTTTGAAAACAAACTGTATTATCTTGGCTACAAAGTTGGGCATGGATAGCAACATCATTTATTTGCTTTTAAAGGTGAAGTTGTTGTTTGTTGTTGTTTGAAATGCTGAGGAATTTGAGTTTGTTAAATCAGTGGTATTTATTGTTTGAATTGCAGCTTGAGGAATTTGAGGTTGTTAAATCAGCGGTAACTATTGTTTGAATTGCAGCTTGAATGAGGATCCGGCTTAAGTAACTTTCCAGCGGAAAAGACACCATAACCTTGGATAAATTCTCATCATACGATAAATCCAATGGTTTCATATTAGTTTACAATTTTTTCTTTTATTTTTTTGTAAAATTTAGTTAACAGCAACAACACCAAGCTCACACACCACTTACCACCTATGAAGCACGGACACCTCTAGAAGTAGGTGTGTCCCAGTGTCCGACACTTGTATGACACTCGTACGACATGTGTCGGAAAAGTCAAAGTGTCAGAAAAGTCAGACAAGTGCTCCACTAAAAGGTGGATTTTTTTGTTTCGACACTCTTTGAATCAATGGTTGACACTCATAACACACGTTAGACAATTTAGACAAGTGTTTCAAACAAAAATTTGTCTTTTTCTTTGCTTCAGCACACCTTTATACATATTTTGGAAAAATCTCACACAAATTTAAAATTTTTAAACGTGTTTTTAAGCTATGTTACCAATATTTAATAAAAAATTAAAGACATTAATTTTGATTATAATATTTTCAATTTTTAAATTATAGATGGATAAATAAATCTCAAATAATCTCTTATATATATATATATATATATATATATATATATATATATATATATATATATATATATATATATATATATATATATATATATATATATATATATATATATATATATATATATATATATATATATATATATATATATATATATATATATATATAGGTGTCGGTGTCCTATGTTTTAACATTATCGGTGTCAAAATGTCCGTATTGTGTCGTGTCCTGGTGTCCGCGTCGGAGTCCTTGGTAGCTTACCACCTTCTTTCCTCCATTTCCACAACACCATTAAGCCACCCTAAAAACACCCATCACCAAACACTTAACAAACTCCATCAAGACCTCAACAATCAAACAACATTTGCAAACCTGTAAAAAGAAACAAAAAAAAGTAGAACAACCAAGGAAACAAAACAAAAAGAAAATGAGATCAAAACGTGAAGCTCGTCGGATCCGCACACGAAAACAAGCATCACCCAGATACAATTCGAAATCGCGCATGAACCTCACCAATGCAATTAGACGATCGCGTATCACCGTCGGTGTCGCCGTCTCATATCGCCGCCACCATTATGTTCATCGTCACTGTCGTTGCCTCCAACGTACTCATACTCACCGTCATCGTTTTGTGGGTTGTGCATGTTGTTGTTGCCACGCCGGTGCGTTCAAATTCACGATAATTTCTTAATTGCAAGATTTGTCCACCCATCCTGTCAAACAATTTCTTAATTGCAAGATTAAGTGGATTATGTATAAAAATTTATTGTTGACTTCTAAGTGGTTCTCCTTTTTAAAATTAGTGTAATAACAATTTACTTCGATTAGTGTAATAACAATTCATAACACTGTCATAATATACAAAAAAAAATACAAACTTAATGATCTATTAACTTCAATCAGTGTAATGCTGCAGCGTCTGCTTCGTTAAGTGGTGCCTACATTAAAAAAAAAATACTAATTAACATATGATAAGTTAAATTAAGGATAGTTAATTTTTCAAATGAAAGTTATATTACCATCAAAAGCTTTGTAAAATTAAATTGAACTTTGTCGGAGCTCATAAGCTGAGTCATATGACTTGTTAGTTCTTTATCCTAAAATAATAATATAAAATTAATATTATTAATAATACATGTAAAATTAAAATAAACGATTTACTAATTAAATTATACACCTGGGAGGCTTGAGTACATGGTTGTCTTGTAGGTGGAGCTTTTTTCTTTGCAATAGATTGTTTTTCAACCCAACTTTTATGTCGTTTTTGTGATTGTCTCTTTAAGCGAGTACGTTTCTTGAATCCCTTTGGTAGAATAACATTAGAACTTGGAAATATCGGGTTATGATGGCTATGATTTTCTTGTGAGTGACGTTCAATTACTTTCGTATGCCTGAGATCGACAGTTTCATCAACAATTTTGAGGTCCCCCTCTTCACATGCTGCTGCCACCTTTATGAATTTAAACACAACATGTCTGAACATTCGTGTTCTAGAAAATTTTGGATCGACTTCAACATCTTTTCTCCTAGAATCTTGCACGATTCCGTAACGAGCTTGTTTTGTCCACCTCCTTAAAATATACTCATGAGGAATGTTCTTAACATCATTTGCTTCAAGCACTTTCAATGCATGTGAGCAAAGTATGCTAAAGGTCTCAAATTTTCTACAACTACAAGTGATGAAAATTGAAGCATGATCATATGACACTCCAATATATTTCTTGGTTCTCCATAGAAATGACATATTCACATAAAGTGTGAGACTCATTTCTCACTGATATCGACAAAGCTAAAAATTGCATAAACTCCCTTTGAAACAACTCAAATACAATGTGTGTATATACTTTTCTCATTTGTATTAGAATTGGTGACATCTCATATATTAACCTTGTAAGCTTATGTGAGGACTCGTACTCACACCTTAATTCATTTCATCTCTTCTCTTCAACAACTCGTTCAAAATGTTTAAAAAATTGTATTATACCCACATTTGATTTCATACAAGATTTGAAGTGAGCATTCAAACTTTCACTGATTTGAGTACTTCTCATGCCAGGTGTTAATGTTTCCTTCATATAACATGACGCCCATTTCTTTTTTATAGCATAAACAGATTTGATCCAACTATTTTCATGAACATTATAGTCGTTGATTAAGTTGATCCAAGTTGTTTCAAAATCTGCTTCAATGTCAATATCATACATGCATTTTTTAAAATCTCTTAAAAAATAACTTCCTCCTTTCATCAGGTTTCCAAGGTGTTTAATTACATTTTGCAATAAGTGCCAAGTGCATAAGCTATGGTGAGTCTCAAGCATCACTTCAACAAGTCCTCTGGCCATTGCTTGATCTTGATCAGTGAATATAGTCTTTGACTTCTTGTTGTTATGTGCTTGCAAAAATGTATCAAACAACCACTTAAATTACTCAATTGTCTCGTCATACAATAAGGTTGCACCAAAAGTTATCAAACCCCAATAGTAGTTGAAGCCAAAAAAACAGAGCAAGTGGTGTATTCGCATGATTAGTACAATATGTAGTGTCGAAAGACACAACATCACCAAAATACCCGTAGTCCAAAATCATATTCTCATCACACCAAAACATATTAGTAATTTGTTCTTCTTTATCCATTTGATATGCATGAAAGAAAGACGGACTCTCTAATAATTGTCGTTGACATCCAGCCTCGCCATACTTCATACTTCTTTGCCTTCTTGCATTAATGTAATTTGTAACATCCACTCGTGTTAATCCTATATTAGCTCTATGCCGTGCATGTGTGCTCATAAGTTGAAATGTTGACTTCTGCCTTAATCCGGAGTCATCCGCCAAATCAATCTCATACGCTTGACTTCAATTATTTTTCTATGACTTGCAAGCATGTGTTTTATCTCAGGAGCTTGTAGAGAATGATTATGTTCCTCTACAAATTCATGGATGATCAATTTTTCATTATTACATACAAGTGAAATCCAGGCTTTGCAATCAGTTCTAGTCTCAACTCTGTAAGTGCTAACAAAAGTATCTGTATTATTTCTCTTTTGTGCTCCTTCCTTAAAAGAAACAAACCTACGTAATGATATGATTTAGTCTTTACTCTTATTTAGATTACGTTTTCTAACTCCAAAGTCAATATCTGCACTATAAACAAGCCAAAATTCACTTCCTTGTTCTATATTGTCAAATTTCATACCAATTTTTGACTTCTAATCATCATTTAAAGTCTAAATAAAACAACCTAAGAAATATTTGAAAAAATTAATATTAGTGCACATGAAATATGGATGTTTTAAGTAGTATTGAAATTAAGTTGAAAAAAATTAAAAAGTCTAAACAATAAAGAACCTCTACCCTGTTTCAAATCAAAACATGTTAAAAATAAAATTTTCTAAGTTTAATTTTGTAAAAAAACACAATGCCAAAATGAACCAAACACCATTTATATTATATGAACCACAAAATTCTAAGTGAAATGAAGAACAAAGTTCTAAGTGAAATGAAGAACATTGTTAGTGAAAATGAACCAAATACCCACACCTATTACAATTCAATTAAAAATTAATTATATTTATAAATTAGTTTATAATTAGTTTACAATTTTAAACCACTCATATATTTTAAATTCTTTTAAAATTAAATTTTTTAACTTCATAAAAATTTAAATTTTTTATATTAAAAAAAATATTCTTTATAATATTTATTTTTAATTTTTTATATTTTTATATTTTGTATTTTCAAAAAAAATGTTTTTTTTCGTTTTTTCAAAAAATATTGATTTTTTTTCATATTTTAAAAAAAAATCGTTTTTCACAATTCCAAAAAAAAAACGATTTTTTTTTCGAAAAAATATTAAATTTTCGTGTTTCGAAAAAATTCAATTTTTTGTATTTTTAAAAAAAAACTTAAATTCCTGTATTTCTAAAAAAAACTTTACTTTTTCATATTTTTGAAAAAATTTGACTTTTTTATATTTTTAAAAAATATTCGACTTTTTTATATTTACGAAAAAACTCGACTTTTTCATATTTCTGAAAAATAAGATTTTTTCATATTTCCGAAAAAATCGACTTTTTCATATTTCTGAAAAAACTCTTTTTCATATTTCCAAAAAACTCGATTTTTTCATACTTCTGAAAAACTCGAATTTTTGATATTTTTAAAAAAACTCGACTTTTTCATATTTTCGAAAAAACTCGACTTTTCATATTTATGAAAAAATTCGATTTTTTCATATTTTCGAAAAAAACTCGACTTTTTCATATGTCTAGAAAACTCGACTTTTTCATATTTTTAAAAAACTTGATTTTTTTCATAATTTCGAAAAAAAACTCTACTTTTTCATATTTTCGAAAAAAAAAATCGACTTTTTTATATTTCTGAGAAAATTTAACATTTTCATATTTCTGAAAAAATTCGACTTTTTCATATTTCTGAAAAACCCGACTTTTTTAAATTTTTGAAAAAAAGTCGACTTTTCATATTTCTACAAAACTCTATTTTTTCAATTTTCGAAAAAGATCTAGACCTTTTTATATTTCTGAATAATTCGATTTTTTCATATTTCCGAAAAAAACTCAATTTTTTCATATTTAAAAAAAAAACTCAATTTTTTTATATTTCCAAAAAAGAGTCAATTTTTTTTCATATTTTCAAATAATTCTACTTTTTCATATTTTCAAAAATACTCTACTTTTTCATATTTAAAAAAAAATCAATTTTTTTATATTTAAAAAAAAAAAAAACTTTTTCATTTTTTAGAGAAAAAAAAACTAATTAAATAAAATTAAATCAATTTATAAAATAAAATTGGTTCTGAACCGATTTAAAACTAAATTTTCAAATTTTTTTTAAATTTAAGTATACAGTTGATAAACCATATTTGTTATGGAAATGATCTTTATGTTTTTTGTTCATGCATTAGATAAGCATGTTGAATTTTTTTCTTTTTCTTGCCCTATGTGATAAATTTGTGAAATTATATAAACAGAGAGTTAAGAGAACGAGTTGGCCAGTAAAATTCCTTCCTTCCAATTAAAAAATAAAATTCATACAAATAACTTAGCACCCAATTGTAATTGAGATGAACAATTCAAAATCCGACCAAAAACAAAACACCTAATAATCATCACAACATCACATTATCAGAAAGGAAATCCCAAAACGCTGACCAATTAACTAAAACAAACGTAAAATTTAAAGAGACTAATCAACCAAACGAAAACACTTAATCAACTTCTTCAATTTTGGGACCAGCACCACCTGCAGCTGGAGGAACTTCATCATCATCGCCACCCATGTCAGGAGCCGCTCCACCTTGGTACATCTTAGCAATTATTGGGTTGCAAAGACTCTCAAGTTCCTTCATCTTATCTTCAAACTCATCTGCTTCAGCCAATTGGTTATTATCCAACCAAGTAATTGAAGCATCAATTGCATCTTCAATCTTTTTCTTGTCATCAGCTGAAAGCTTTGAAGCAATCTTCTCATCTTTAATGGTGTTCCTCATGTTGTAAGCATAGTTTTCCAATGCATTCTTTGCATCAACCTTCTTCTTGTGCTCCTCATCTTCTGCCTTGTATTTCTCTGCTTCCTCAACCATCTTCTCAATCTCCTCCTTCGAGAGTCTACCTTTGTCATTGGTAATTGTGATCTTGTTCTTCTGCCCGGTTGTTTTGTCCTCAGCAGAGACATTCAAGATACCATTAGCATCAATGTCGAAGCAGACTGTAATCTGAGGAACACCACGGGGAGCAGGAGGAATGCCAGAAAGCTCAAACTTGCCCAACAAGTTGTTGTCTTTTGTTCTTGCTCTTTCTCCCTCATATACTTGGATCAAGACACCAGGTTGATTGTCCGAGTAGGTAGAGAAAACTTGCTCCTTCTTGGTTGGGATGGTCGTGTTCCTTGGAATCAACACAGTCATAACACCTCCTGCAGTCTCCAAACCTTGAGACAATGGGGTGACATCCAAAAGCAACAAATCTTGGACCTTCTCATTTCCTTCACCACTCAAAATAGCCGCCTGAACAGCAGCTCCGTATGCAACAGCCTCGTCAGGGTTAATGCTCTTGCAAAGCTCCTTCCCATTGAAGAAGTCTTGCAACAACTGCTGAACTTTGGGAATCCTAGTAGAACCACCAACAAGAACAACATCGTGAACTGTGCTCTTGTCCATCTTAGCATCCCTCAAACACTTCTCCACAGGCTCCATACACTTCCTGAACAAATCCATGTTAAGCTCCTCAAACCTAGCACGAGTGATTGTTGTGTAAAAATCAACACCCTCGTACAAAGAATCAATCTCAATGGTTGTTTGTGCAGTTGATGAGAGAGTTCTCTTCGCCCTCTCACAAGCAGTTCTCAACCTCCTAAGTGCTCTAGGGTTACCACTAATATCCTTCTTATTCTTCCTCTTAAACTCTTGAACAAAATGATTAACCAATCTGTTATCAAAATCTTCACCACCAAGATGGGTATCCCCAGCAGTGGCCTTAACTTCAAAAATACCCTCTTCAATAGTAAGAAGAGACACATCAAAAGTACCACCACCCAAATCAAAGATCAACACATTCTTCTCACCAACACTAGTAGCCTTCTTGTCAAGACCATAAGCAATAGCTGCTGCAGTAGGCTCATTGATTATTCTCAAGACATTCAAACCAGCAATGGCACCAGCATCCTTTGTAGCTTGACGCTGGGAGTCATTGAAGTAAGCAGGAACGGTAACAACAGCATTCTTCACAGTAGAACCAAGATAAGCCTCGGCAATCTCACGCATCTTAATGAGCACCATAGAGGAAATTTCCTCGGCAGCAAATTGCTTCTCCTCACCTTTATAGTTAACCACAATCATAGGCTTTTCACCCGGACCAGCAATAACCTTGAATGGCCAGAGCTTCATATCACTCTGAACAGAAGCATCAGAAACTCTCCTTCCAATCAAACGTTTTGCATCTGTTTTAAGTATACACGTTCAAATCACCAATTAGCACACAGACAAATTAAAATTCATAAAACAAATTACTACTAACAACAATCACAAATCTCTATGGATCCCACAAAATTATAGTTTTTTTACTAAAGAATTAAAATAAACATATATATGAAAATCATGTATGTGGTGGTGAAGGTGAAGTTAGAAATCTTACCGAAGACGGTGTTAATAGGGTTCATGGCGACCTGATTCTTAGCGGCATCACCGATCAACCTTTCGCTATCTGTAAAAGCAACATAAGACGGCGTCGTACGGTTTCCTTGATCATTGGCAATGATCTCTACTCTGTCGTGCTGCCAAACACCGACACAGGAGTATGTTGTGCCGAGATCGATTCCAATAGCT